CCCTCCCCTCCCCTCCCCTCCTCCTCTCCTCCTCCTCCTCTCCTCCTCAAGAGCGGCCCCCAGCGGCGGACGGGCCGGATTAGAGCCGAGGCGAGGCACGGGCGGCGCTTGTACGCTGCATCCTGCGCAGCTCTGACCTGACGCGGAGGAACTGGCTCAGCCTTTACGCCGGGGCTGCGGGGCATCACGTCCCAGTGAAAGGGAAAGCCGAAAGCCCGGCGTCACGGTCTGTCTTTTCTCTGCCCTCAGCTGTCGTGATTCATAAGTGGCCTGACAAAGATCTGACGGCTTTTCTGACGAAGGAATGAAAGACAGAGATTACAGGTCACAGTGCTCCACTGACAACCAGTTCTGGCTAAGGCTAAAAGATAGAGATGACAGCACAGGTATTTTGATTTCTAAAGTGAATGATCGGTTGTAATTGAACTACTGTTCAGAAATGTTGTCGAAAAGGTACTATTTGAATAAATAAGTTAGGCTTTGGCCACCAGAGGTTGTAGGTATGCTAGGATAAATAAATAAATAAATAAAAGAACAGGGTAAAATGCTTGCACCCTGAAGTATCAAGAGTTCAGAAAATAAGAGCTGAATCAAGATCTGATTCCTTCATCTGGAGAAAGACAGCTACCATAAGCAAACCCTTGGCATTGAGTAGCCACTGAAATAATTATCTTGTGCACACAGAGACACACCGTTGAAGCTTCCATCTTTGAGAGGGAAGGGGGAAGTTGAAGGCTTGCTCAACTAAGAGCTTCTTGATTGAGGACTTGCCCAGCTGAAAGTAGGCCACAGATAGAGTTGTCATGGCTTGAGGCTCTAGCCATTCATAGACAGACTTAATGGATAAGAGAGAGACTAAGCGCAGGGGCCCAGATGAAGTAGGGCAGCAGACAGACTGCTGAGGGAGAGTTTGGGCTGCAGAGAGAATCCCTCGGGCGTTTTTCATTTTAGCCATGGCTTGGGAACCTTGTATAAGGGTTTTATGAGAGACAAACCCTAGTGACATATATGGAGCAAAGCTCCAAAGGAATGTTTAGCCACAAAGAAGTTTTCCTTAACAATTCTTTATTTTGGCCATATTAATTATTACTTTTACTTATTTGAGGTCTTAGGGTAAGGCTTAGACCATGGCTTGGGATTAGGCTAGGGTCTGAGTTCAGAGACAAGGCCTAGGGGTCTAGGTGGAGTCGGACTGCAGAGAAGCTGCCAAGGGAAGGTTTGGGCTGCAAATAGTTGGTTCTGGGCAATTTTAGGGTTAGAAAAGAGACATTTCCTAGGTGTTCTAGTTGTGGTTCTGCAAGGGTGCTGCCTAGGGACAGTTTGGGCTGCAGAAGAATTATCCTCAAAGATTTCAATCAGGGCTGTGTTTTGGTTTACCTGAGGTTAAGTCCCTGGGCACATGTAGGGTGAGGAGAGGACAGTTCCTACGGGTCTACCTGGAGTAAGGCTGCTGAGGGAAGGTGTGGGCTCAGAAGGAATTGTCTGAGGACTTTTCCATGTGGGCCACGTTTGGGGCTACCTGGTGTTAAAAGTTGATGCACGTCTAGCACTAAGATTCTAAGTCAAAGCCTAGGGATCTAGATGAAGCAGGTCTGCAGACAGGCTGCCAAGGGAAGGTGTGGGCTGCCAAACCAGTTCTCTGCTGAGAACTTTTTCATCTGTGCCACAGTTTGGGTTTTCTGGGCTTAAGGGCTAGCTAGCCACTTTAAGGGTTAGGATTAGAAGAGAGACAAAGTTGGAAGCGTGCTCTTGTGGTGGAGCTGCAAAAGTATTACCAAGGGCAGGTTTGTGTATCACAAAGAATTCTGCTCTGAGAGCTTTTCCATCTTGATTGTGGTTTGGGGTCTTTGGCTAAGGTCACCGCAAAGGATATGGTTTATAATTGATAAGGATTTGAAATGGGAAGTACCAGAGTCCAGTTATGGAGGACTTTGGTTTTCATCTGTAACTTGGCCCTCTTTATATGCTATTTGTTTGGAGTCAAAACTTAACCTTCTAGTTACTGCTCAAGGCAGAAACTTTATGTCTTACGTGTTAAAGTCAGTGATAAAACTCCTGATAGCTGGAGTTCCCCCTCTAGCCTATTCAAATAGTGTTCTCCAGACCATTTGACCACTGTTCTCACCATAATCTATCCATTAACCATAACATGTCATTCTTGGAGGTTTCTCACATTTGCCATAGGTCCTACAATAAATATAACCTAATAAAATCAATATACCTCATAGCAGACGGTTTATAGTGGTGTTTTAAATATCAACATCTTTTGTGCAGCAAAAATTTTAAAAAAATAATTTAGGAATGCATTTACCCGATTAAAGTTAACTTGTGTTACTATGTTTTTCCTTGTCTCCTTTTCCTCAGCTCCTTGGCACAAGGCACCCTGATGTTTTGTGTTTGTCTTAATCTATATAGAAAATCTAACCTTTTTTTTTTTTGGCACGGACTGTTCACTCTTAAGGATTTTTCCCCATGTCTTACCTGCATCCACTTGTCAAAATAGCTACACATTTCAATGAGGCACCTGAAATAACCTGATAAATTGCTAGCAGCCTTCTGAAACAAATCTCTGTGCTTTGATGTGCTGAGAGATGTTCTATTTTTATCAATATGTGCTTTCTTACTTCCCGACCCTGACTGTGTTCTCAGAAAGTTAACAGGTTAGATTCCCTTCTGTCAGAAAAGACCTACAAAGCCTTTCTTCCAGTTTTAGTCATTCAAACAAAGAATCAGACTTCTGGTCAAGGGGTACTCAACTGCACAAGGAATTTGAGAACTAGCACTAGATACGCCACCAGACCCCCAAAATAGGATAGGATTAGGACTGGTTTTGTGCTTCTGCCTCCAAAGAGAAATACCGCTTTAGAATAAAAATGGTGTATTTATTGTAACAGAATAATTTGTAAAACTGATTTATTGAATCTCTCTCATAGACTGAAAACAAGTTATGCAACATTAAAGTTCCTGTTTGGTGCTATTTCCGATTTTCTGAAATTTTAGAGCTGAAGTGCTACAGGTGTAGTTGCTGTCTGAAGTTAAAAAGTACTTGGAAAGTTCAGTAAAAACAGCTCAATGTTCAATAGTTCAAGGAGAAAAAAATTAAGGAAAGCCCCTATTCCTCTATGGAAACCTCGGTCTAATCTTTAAAAGACTATAGGCTCTTTTCTCTGTCTCTTGGCAGCAGACAAGTTTATTTGAAAACATATGGTTAACTGTAACAGGTGTATATTTAGAATGTGCTTTACCACAGCAAACAGCGTTTTTAAAGAGCATTTGATACTACTGCTTTTAAAAGTGTTACCTGATTAAAAGTGATTAAAAACATGCATTCATGTACTCATCCTTTCCCTACTGGGAAATAACTTACTTGAAACATTTTTCAGTTTCAAAACCAGCTGTAATATATGATCATTTATGATGTTATTAGTCTCCAGGACCTTGTATCAGTACAGTGCTTCATTTTAAGTATACCATTTTGTACCAAGACCAAACATGGTATATGTATTAAAATAAGAAATGTAACTCCAATTAAATAAATGGAGCTATTACAGGGATTAATATGGTGCAAGATCCACAATGAAGACTGCAGCTTTTTAATCATGATCCCCATATGATACACTGTGGTTTGTTTAGAAATCAGGATATTCTGTATTGAAGCCAAAGCAGAGATTTAGGTCTAAAATAAATTTTATGTACCAAGCAAAAACCAGCTTTCCTCAAGAAAACAATACAAGATAATAATAATAATAATAATAATAATAATAATAATAATAATAATAATAATAATACAACAAACTTAAATGTACATTAAGAAACAATATTAGAAAGACACAAATCATTTGCTCAAGGTTAGCAGGTGTCCATGTAAATATCCACCACATTAAAAGCAGGATTCAAAAGTTTAGCAAGTAAATACTGAAGGAAAAATAAGTATTTTTTTAAATTAAATGCAGTATTTTTTTTTCCACTGTGCAGCATCCTACTTCTGTTAAGTGATGCTCATGTATGCCTTTATATGCTTTCTTTAGTGCTTTTTAAATGAGATCAGTTGCTATATTTATTAATTACAATATGCTAATTTATATATATATATACACATATCATGTTATATACAGTACAGTATGAAATGTAATTAGTGTATCATAGACATTGATATGAAAATGTTAAGTACTATGCATACATGTATGTTGTATCTATGAATTCCAACTTAAAATTATAAAATACACACTTTATAAATCTACCGTGTTGATTTATAGCAAAATATGTATTTACTGTTATCCTTATTGGGGTGATCTAATAATATGTCTACATATGAATGATCCCTGTATCTTTTTCAGAACAGTTGTTTGTACTGCAGCACTTCAGATAACTGTTGAAAATACACTGTTTTTGTTGAGAATTAAGGCTCTTGTGATAAAAGATTAATGCTGTGGACTGATCTGATTAATGAATATATTTGCTAATAATTTAAAGGGAGGTCTAAGTTCTGGGTTTTCCTAAATTTTAATACTTTATCTTTTGTATGAATAAAGACAAGTTTTAAAATAACAGGGTCATGAATTCTGACTGAAAACAGTGGATGATGCCCATTAATTCTTCAAAATTGTACAAAACTGGGTTTTTTTCACTTAGCTTTGTTTTAATCCATTGTACACTTGGGAGGATATTCATGTTCCACAAGTCCTAAACTAGTCAGTGAAGTTTTTGAAGGGTTTGACTGATAGGTCTGTTCCTGAGGGTTAGGTATTCAAGAAGGAATTTGATTACTTACAAAGGTCTAGTAGACTGGGCCACTTGACTGTGGCCCAGTTCTC